TGATAAATGATAATAGTTAAGCAACAACGCTGATTAAACGGATTATATATTATTATTATTATGATAAACCTAATATTATTTTCAATTTGATAAAAGATTTAAAGATGTCAAAGATGAAGAAGTGTTGAAGTGTCAATAAATGTCAATAATGTCATCATTTTTAAATATGCCAATTTGATCGCGCGTTTTAGTATTTTGTACAGTTTTTCGAATCTCGTGACATCTGAAGGCATGGCGATTGTATATGGGCTGCCGAAATTGTGTAGCCGACACGTTGCTTTCTATTTGCTGAGAAACCAATACAAGGTGAGTCCCGAGTAAAGTCTACCGATTCTCCGTACCTAACAATGGGTCGCACAGCCCGCCGCCGTAGCAAACGCACCTCTGACCGTCCTTCTACTGGCTATCAGTTTGAAGTCGTCTCGCTGACTACATGGATGAAGTCTCATGGATGGAAACCCACCTGCCGATTGGCGCCAGCCTGGTTTGCCGAYACTGGACGAGGGCTAATGGCAGCCCAGAACATTGACGCGGGACAACCACTTGCTATTGTACCTGGTCGTTTGGTGATCACTGTTGACTCGGTGTCTATGTCACCATTTGGCAAACACTTTACCACCGTTTACAAGACACAACAAGTATTAGCCACATATCTGATGTTTGAACGGCACAAAGGATCTGAATCATTTTGGCATAATTATATTGTCTCATTKCCCATGATTCTGTCGAATTCAGCATACTGTCCTGCTGAAAATTTACCCAATGATCTATCAAATAAAGTACAAGACCATCAAAACACAATATCAACAACTTTTAATCAAATTATGTATGAAATGTCTTCCATTGTTTGTTCACACTGTTCAGACACTTGCAGAAATATATTTACATTTGAAGTTTATAAATGGGCATGGTCAATTGTAAATACTAGAGCCGTTTATATGAGTCCAGATTGTAGCTCGAAAAATAAAATAAAATTGTCAGATGTCAACAATCTTGCACTTGCACCATATATAGATATGTTTAACCACTCTCCTTTGGCTTGTGTTCGGGCCACGGTCAATAATTTAAACGGTGCATACACTATTGTTACTGAAAAGTTATTTAAAAAACATTCTGAAGTGTTCATTAACTATGGACCACATTCCAACACTAAATTATTTTTAGAATATGGATTCATTGTTCCATCCAATCCACAAGATTCTGTTCATTTGTCAGCTAAAGAAATCATTTCAAAAACAGGCAAATGTTTAAATAAGAATCGATTGGAAAAACTTAGGACTTATGACTTATTAGAAGGTCATTATTGTACATCTGAAGGCTTATCGTGGTCAACGAGAATTYTAACATACCTGTTAATTTATTCTGATCGACTTAATGATGAAGAATTAAAAAACCGAGTGTTTGCAAATTTATTTGACCCAAGTGAGGTTAAAGCTGTATCTAAAATTGGAGCTATTATTGTTGAATCAAAGCTGGAAGAAATAAAACACTGGGAATCAAAAATGTTGACCATTTTAGGAAGTCAGGCYGAGAAGTCAACTGGTTTTGTGGTTGCTACGGAACTGGTAAAGGAGAATCGGAGATTACTCGAAAAATGTTTGCAATCATTAATTAATGTTAAATAATAATTTATAAAACATAATCTGTTGGGAATAAATATATTTTAAGTCAAATTTGTTGGTTTTTTTTCCAGTAGTTTCTTAATAAATTATAACCTAGGCTTTTGGTCTATTTAATACAATAATATCAATATTAAAATGTTCCTTTAAAAAAATAAAATAAATAATATGAGTACCAGCTAATAAAACATAATTTCAATATCTAGGTACCCATTAAAAAGTAAAGATTAAAAAACTAATCATTTCTCACACCCAAATGATTACATTAAAAATATGTGTCTATTATAAGTAGATGTTAAATTATTATTATATTGAACAAATACACATTGTAAACTTGATGATTCCCATATTTTGGTACTTAGGGAAGTATCCATATATAACTTAAAATTATTAATAATAATTTGTACCTATTAAACAAAAATGTTTCTAATTTATTCAAACGAT